AGAAATATTATTTTATCCGATAAAGCAAACCAACCCAACAATCTATCAAAACTAATATCACAAAATAGATATATAGTAGGGATAGAAAGAGGGAGAGAAAGCTTCTTCTTCAAATCTCAGATGGATAGAGCTCGTGCTGATAACGTATGATAAATATATATATATAGAGAGTAATATTGAGTGAGAGCTTTAGAGAGAGAAAGTATAAGAGAGAGAAAGTAAAATAACTTTATTATACTTGTTCAAGTTACATCCAGCGAAGTAGTAGATGCATGGCTTTTATAGGAAAAAAGTGAGGCTTCCATGATAAGCCACAAAGATGAAAACTTACATAATAAGCCATAGAATTTGAGCTTCCTTTTCATGCCAAACATTGTGTCATCATTGACTTACTTTCTTGTGGACCCCACATATTGATATATATAACGGACGGCACTTTCTTATAACCAAAAAAAAGAAAAAAAAGGAAATAAATAATACCATAAAGAGATTACATGAAACAATCGCAAATAATATTTACTTATAATTCTCGATCACAAACGTGATCTTACATTTTAATATAATAGACTAAAAGAGGTTGTAACCAGTAAGGAAATGCAAAATTTTGGGGCCTTTCTATTGTTTGGGACTTAAGGTATCCGATATGGTGCATATATGACCATCTATACATGAGACTCATCTTTTAGCTAGCTGAATTGCTAGCAGAAATGTGGGGCCGCTTAGAGCATATGCAGGCCAAAGGGCCTTTTCAGCAATTTGGGCTCCCAAATCTACGCAACGGGCTGGCAAAATTGGGCGGGCCCGTAATAGCTCACGAACCGACTCACAGAATAACGCGAGCCCGAGTCCGATCAAGGTTATTTATTTATTTAATTTTCTTTATCCAAAATGTCGCTGTTTTAAGTGCAACGACTATTTTTATTTTATTTTTAAAACTGGCAGTAACAGTGCCTTAAGACACTGATTGGCAGAATAGTTTTTTGGAAAAAACCTAAAAAATGGGGTATTTTGAGCTTTTAAAAAAAAAAAAAAAAATTGTTTAGGCATTGTTTGTTCAAAATTTTTTTGATTTGGGCCAAAAACAAATTAAAAACCTTGTAATAATGTATTGTTGGATTTATTTTTTTAAATCCATAATAATAATGTATTGTTGGAAATTATAATATCAATTCTAATTTTTTAAATAATTTGCAAAGATATTGCTTGATCAAAAAATATTGTCATTTCATCATTTTTAATCTTAAAAAATTATTACATAATAAAAATTCTAGTACATAAAATGTGTCCATTAGAAATATGATAGTTATAAATACAACCATTAGGAAAAAGTAAAAAAAAAAAATAGTTTTTTTTTTTTTTGAAGAGTGAAAATCCGGAGAGCATGATAGAGTGCCTGTTTTCGGAGACCAAAACTGCTGACGTTACTTGTGCAAAATCTGAAGTGCCATTTTTGAAGAGCAAAAATCCAAAGAAGTTGATGCAGACGCTCTTATTGTCAGCCCCATATTGGTCCATTTCCTTAGCCAGCTGGCCCCGAGATTGGATGGCGCCTAAGTGCTCCTTGTAAAAGAAGTTGCTAACTCAAATGATATTTTCCCTTGAAATTAAGAGATTGAAAAATTAATTGACATGCTACAAGAAAATTAACATAAAAAGAAATTAATTAGAAAAAAAATTGTAATTGAAAGACATGTTGGTATGGTAGTAGAGGATTTGAATTCCCCCTCAACCAAAATATTTCAATTTATTTGTTGCATAAATCTCTTATTTCTTGATTTTTGTTTTTTATTTTAATTTGATTTTGTTGGGAATTATTCCTAGCCAAGTTAGGAGTGTGCAAAAAAACTGTCAACCTAAAAAACTAAATCGGACTGGACCGAGGTGGGAGGTCTGGGCTGGTTCCATAACGGTTTGGTCCGGTCACGATTCTAAAATAATGGAACCGTGAATTTTTGGTTCGGTCCTGGATCAGGGTCCTATAAGAACGGACTGGCCAAACCGTATATATATATATATATACACACACACACACACTACTCTTAACATTGCAAGGGATTTCGACACAACGATCAAACGTGAGTCAACATTCATCACTATCTAATATATTTTTTTTATTTGCTTTTCTTTCTCCCAATGTTTTGATTTTTGGATACGTTCCAACATTCCTCCACTATCTCTCTTTTTTTTTCTTTCTTTGCTCGCGTTGCCTCATTCACTTCTTAGTTGTCAGTTGTTGATCAATCGCTCTCATGCAACCTTTGAAGTTCAGTCATTGTCGTCAATCTTTTATCGCAGCCATATTTGACATCCTTTCTCATACTCTTTCCCTTTCTCTCTCACTTTCAATTCACAGATGTCTAAGTTTCACAACGTGTTTGCGCCTTAAAAACAACCAACAACGACAACGAATCAAGTTTCTTAATTTTCAATCACGGATTTGCCATTCTTTTAAGTTTCAGCAAGATTCAACTTTATTTTAATTTCTAGGGTTCAGCTTTTGGGTCTATTTCACCCATTTTCCTCTCTCCTTTTCTTTCTTTATTTTAGTCTTGGATTTGGGAATGTGAATGCTTTTATTGTTATTTTTATTGTATATACAATTCAAGGGAAAAAAAATTTCAACTAAAATAATGGAATCGAATCGAACCGAACCGAACCAACCCAACTCGTTTTTTTCACGATTTGGCCTGATTCGGTTTCAGATTTTTTGGAACCACAACGAGTGGTTTGGTTCTAAAAATCCTTATAAACGGACCAAAATGGACTGTGTGCCCTAAGCCAAGTGTCTGACTCACTTCAGACTTCGCGTTTGCTTTTGGCACGTCAATATTGTCATTAATCCAGTCAAGGCATTCATTCAGCTCCTTTTTGGTTACTTGAATCAACAGCGAAACATCAGTTTATCGAGGCCCACCAATAATCCACGTGTCATTTATTTATTCGTCCATGTCATTGAATAGGCTCCCACTCCGCTGCCAATTTGTGAGGTAAACAACTGGAATCCAGCATTTGATGCTTTATCACCTTAATTAACTAAGTAAATAACCGCCAAAAATTATTTTAAAAGCCCTGTAGAATAAAGAAAAGGCCATACACATCATCATCATCTAGAGAGAGAGCTTTGTTCCAATGGCGTTCCTGTAATATTTATACCCGGAGTTTTTAATCCAGAAATGGACTGCTCCATCATCAAAGTGCTTTTCACAGAAAGTGTGAAACCAAAGGAGATTCGCAACAACCCCAGACCTGGAACAACACATGCGTCAGATGCACACTACACGAACAACGCCGTCAGTCTCTGCTGCTGAATTGAGGATGATGAAGAGACGATTGAGGGCTTTTCAAGAACGTGATTTATTTCCGTCTGCCAAACTCTTCGACTAGGTGTGGAATCTGATAACTTAGTTGTGCACGACTTTCTCAAAGTGGATTCTGGAAAAGGTTGTATGGTTATTTCCTTTCAAGGGTTTTCCACAAAAATAATCTTATCTCTTCTTTGCTCTAGTTACTGGCTTGTGTGTTTCTGAGAATGATTTTGATATTTGTAAACATACTAATTAACTGGATTTTAAGTACATTTTATCAGTAATTTCAAGAGATAGTTGCAGATTAACATCCATATGACGCCTTTCTAGGTCTAATTAACTGTGCGTACTCTGAAATATCATATTCCTAGGTAACAATCCTATATGTCTCAGAGACTAGAAGCAAAGTAACTTTAGGTTAGGAGGATTTATGGTGGCATATTTCGTGGATCAAAACTAGAGTCTATATTTTTATTTTTATTGCTAGCTTAGCTGGATTTTTATAAGTTAATGTCAAATTAGTTACCTCTTGATCATGGTCAAAGATGGAATTCAAGCTTCAACTAAGGGCAGAGTCGTAATCCAAGAAACTAAAGGTATAAAGGTAATTTGACATGTACATATGCACTGGTGGAGATCGATGGCAGAAATCTTTAAATGTGTATAAAAGGCGCCAAAAGGAGGATTCTAAGTTTCGAGCTGACATAGGCTAGACAATATGGGTCCACATCTTTGAATAATTGGGAGATTTTGTCAACTTTTAATTACTCTAATTATGCTATTAGATAAATATTGATTACCTCAATTATGGGGTAATCGTGGAGTCAAATATTGATTACCTCAATTACGGGGTGATTACTTTCTTTTAGGGGTAATTACATTTACCTCCCCTGCGGTTAGGGGTAATTACAGGCGGTACCCCTTACGTATAAAAAATTACACCGTCATCCCTCAAGGTTTGTTCCGTCGTAACACTTAGCCCCCTCCGGTGAAAGTCAATGCCAGTCAATGATGACATCAGCTATTTTTAACCCTGTAATACCACATTTGCCCTTACTATATTTGCAAAGGCATTTTAACCCTTACTTTTGTATTAAAATTACCTATATACCCAGAATAAAAAGACAAAAAAGCCCTTACATGATATCTTTATAAGCCCACACTCTCTCTACATAATACTACCTTCTTTCTCTCTCTAACAATTCTCTCTCTAAAATTTCTCTACGTGAAGCTGAAGATCTGTTACTCCTTCAAGGTCTGTTCTCCTTTGAGGTCTCCTTCAAGGTCTGCTATATATGATTTTTTTTTTCTCTCTCTCAATATATATATATATATATATGATTCTCTTTCTCTCTATATATATATTCTCTCTCTCTCAATATATATATATATATATATATATATATATATAATTCTCTCTCTCTATATATATATATATACATATCTATATATATATAGTTACAGTTTTTCCCTCCATCTCTCATATTTTGTGGTTTTATTTAATTATTTTATTTTTCCTTTTCATTATTGCTTAACTAGATGTCTTCGTCAAGCTCAAATATTGCAAGAGGCAATGCTCCAAGGAATTTGAGGTACAATAGTATGACTTGTTATTGTGGTGTAACAGCTGCAATAAGGGTTACAATTTACGACACTTATCACAACAAAGGGAAGTTGTATTATACCTATGAAAAAAAAAAATGTTCATTATGGGAGTGGTGCAACCCCATTGGTACAATAGGTGGTTATGAATCATCTACAAATCAAGATGGTGAAGTTCAACGGAATGATGATGCTGCTTATTTGAGAGACCAATATGAAGCAATGAATAGGCGGTTGGATCTGATTGAAGCAAGAAATGGACAAATGAAGATGTTCATTATTGTAGCTTTGTTGTTGTCTTTCTTAGCCTTGTTAAAAACATTTTAGTAGCTATTAAGTTTGTACTGTGTTTCGAAGCAATGTAAGTCTGTTTTTGAATCAATATGACACTTGTGTGTTCCATATAAACTAGAAGCAATATAAGTCTATTAAGAAGAAATATGAAAGTTATATAATATGAACTCCATTGCAAAACATAGCGGCATACAAAAAATAACCAAAAGCTTATATATAGTTCAATCCAACTATCTCCACTTCATTACATACACAAAACAACCAAAAGTATACCCATGACCCATGAGTATAAAGTATGTACATACACAGAACAACCAAAAGTATACCCATAACCATGAGTATAAAGTATGTAATTATATCCTGTCTAAGAACCTATCCAATAATATCCCAAAAATTGTCAACAAGTAGCAAGCAAAGTTTCCCCAAAGTGATAGGTTATCCACACATGCTCCAAATGCAACTCTAACTATGAGCAAACACTTGTCCACATGCCATCAAAACAAAACAGTAATATCAAAAGTGACAAGTTATCCACATATGCTTAGGGGTGGCAAAAATCCCCAACCTGGTGGGGAACTGCCCTGCCCCCGCCCCATTTAAAGTGAGTTTGGAGAACTGTTTACTTAAATGGGGTGGGGATAGGGGTTAAAAAAAAAAAACCGGCCGGTTTTGGGGCGGTTGTGGGGGACTCAGATCCCCACCCCGCATCGGCCCCGAAACCGGCCCCAATTAATATATTAAATTACTAGTATACCCTTCCATCTTAATATATTTACAAAATTAACCTTCACTATATATGTATATATATATATTGAAACCCTAGATTTCACTTTTAGTTTCAGACTTCACTTTCAAACGCTATATTCTGATAGTGGCTGCCGACACTGATAGATCTGACCATCGATTTTTCACAAAATCCCAGTATCTGTGGTTTCTTTAGTGGTCGAAGGTTATCCCAAAAGGTATTTCTCTAAGATCCCTTCAGATTTGCTACTCTTTTTAGGTCTTGGCTTCATAGATTGGTAATTTTTATACATAGAATTTCTGCCTCTCTCCTTTTTTGGTCTGTTTCTGTAATAAAGATTGAACTCACCTACATGGATTTGATGGGTTTAATTCAGTGTTTTCCACCTTTGTCTGGAGGATTTAAAGAGATACTTAGGTTAGGGTTAGATATTGTCTTCATCCAGCTGTATATCTTTCTCTCTCTATACATAGAGATCCAATCGGCAATAGTTCTATATTTTTTGTTTTGGTTTTTTTTTATTTTTTATTTTTTATATGTTTGCTTCTTCTTCTTAATATCTCTATCTAAAATACAGAACATTCATTTTTTTCCCGATAAGTTGGGGTTTCTGACTATTGTTTCCATTTTATGAATCTATTTCCATTTTCTTTCTCAATCTATGACAACTTAGGGGTTTCTTTTATTTATTTATTTTATGGCTGATTTTATTGTGGGATTGATACGACGATGATATGAATCTATTTCCATTTTCTTTCTCAGATTTATGTGGTTCTACAGAACTTGTGTAGAATCAAAAAATAAAAAAATTGGAAAATTTTAAATTTAACCGGTTATGGGGCGGGGGCGGGGACGTGGGCGGGGCGGGGGCGGTTATGGGGATTAGAAGTAAAAACTTAAACGGTTATGGGACGGTTTTGGGGGTACCAAAATTAAGCGGGGGCGGGGATGGGGAATGGAAAACCAGCCTTAAACCGCCCTATTGCCATCCCTACATATGCTCCAAATAAGAACACAAAAAACATTCTTCAGGGAGGCCAGAAGGATTGAAACAGCATGACAGTTACCACATTGCCTGTGAAAAACAAATAAATGGAGTTCAAAAAAAAAAATGAAATGAAATATATAACTAAATTTACATGACACTATAATTTACCATGTCAGAAAAGGTACCACTACCAAGTTGGGGCTGAGACATAAACGCATCCCTCCCACCTCTAACTTCCTAAGTCAAACAAACACAACAATCTCAAATAACTATATGGCTAATAAAGTAAATCTCTATATGAAAAAATAAAAATAAAAAATTTACCATTTGAGTTGTGCCTCTACCAAGTTGGGGCTGAGAATTGCTTGCACCCAAACTCCGTGTAGCACCTTGGTGTTGAGAATTGCTTATACCACCCATCCCATCTCTAACTGCCTGAGTCAAACAACCATAATAATTTCAAATAATTGTATGGCCAGTAAAGTAAATCTGTAAATGAAAAAAATAATAATAAAAAAGTTACCATTTGAGTTGTCCCTCTACCAAGTTGGGGCTGAGAACTGTTTGCACCAAAACTCCATGTCACACCTTGCGGTTGAGAACTGCTTATACCACCCCTCCCACCTCTAACTGCCTGAGTTAAACAACCACAATAATTTCAAATAATTGTATGGCCAATAAAGGAAATCTGTAAATGCAAAAAATAAAAATAAAAAGTTACCATTTGAGTTGTGCCTCTACCAAGTTGGGGTTGAGAATTGCTTGCACCCAAGGGCTGTGATAAACCCCCCCTCTTAACTCTCTGATATTAAAAAACAAACAAAACATAAGAATAAATAGCATGCACTAATTCAGTTTTTATTAAAACACTTAATTAAATTAAACCAGATAATTAAATTACCTGAGATGTGCTTGAACTTCCCTCTGGACCACTTGCATTTGCAGCTTTCGAAGAACTTCCCTTCTGGACCTTATTTGTATTTTTTGGACATGTTCTTTTGTTATGTCCAAGAGGCTTGCAAGTCATGCATCTTATGGTCATTGACTTTCTCACTTGACTAGTCCCTGCTGCAGGTTCATCTGCATCTCTTCTTCTATTTTTCTTTGGCCTACCAGGCCTTCTATAAGGTGGAGGAGGATCAAGTGGATCACCATGAGCAGGTGGCCATAGTTTTGAGTCAAGTATGGGATGTATCATTCCCCCATGAGCTTCCAAATAAGCATCCTTACTAATTTTTTTTTTTTTTATCACAAAACAGCTCAATATTCATTCTCTTGTAAGCCATTGCAGCTGCTGCATGCTTGCAAGGGAGGCCAGAAATTTGCCATGCCCTACATACACAAGTCCTAGCACCAAGGTCTACCACAGTTGTACCAGTTTCATCCATTATTTCATATTCATCCGCTCCAGCAAAGATGACACTACATTGTCTAGATTCCTCTACGAGTTGGTTCAACTTCTTCCTAATGTTAGGAGTCACCAATGTTTGTCAACTGCATGCCACCTCATACCTCTTTTGAATCCTACCCATCAATTGCATCCTAATCCATTCTAATATGTTCAAAATTGTACTATTTCTTTGTGCACCAACCCAATTGTTAAATGATTCACTTAAATTGTTTGTGACATGATCATTTTTCACATTTTCATCAAACCAATGCCTAGACCAGGATGATACAAGCAATTCTATCAAATTATTTATAATAACCCTAGTTTTGAAAGAGATATAATCGAAATTTTATTATTTATTTTATTATTTTCAGTATTTATTTTATTATTTTTGGGTGCTTACGTGGCTACGTGTTTTGGATGGTTTCTTGTTTTTGGGTGATATTTGAATTAATTGAATTTTTATTTTTTTACTTGATTAATTGGACTTATTTGTATTTATTTGAATTGTTTGCGTTAATTATACTGTTACGAACTTATTGGTAATTAGTGGAATTAGGGTTTTTGTCTCTAATTTTACATGGAGTAGGATTGTTGTTTGGAGCTTATAAATACATAAGAATACTGGGGTTTAGGGTTTTAGAAACCATAAGCACAAGTCTATAAACAGAGAGAATAACAGAGAGTTACAGGGCGAATTACAGAGAGAGATAAAAGGGAGGAAGTCTAGGGTTTTGCCTTAGGCTAGGGTTGAACCAAGGAGGAGGAGGAGCAATGGTTGGCTCGTGGATAAAACCAAGAGCAACAGAGGTGGAACAGTTGTCGGAGATTTCATCGGAAAAACTTAGAAGGACGGCAACGGAGTTTTGAATCCAAAACTGTAAAGGCAAATTCTAATCCTACTCTATTCCTTAGGCTTGTGTTCTTTACATTCTAACGCAACTCCAGGAACGTATAAGGATTAAAAGTAAACTAGTTTGCATGTCTCTGTTGTTTTAAAACTGAATGTAGCCATGAGTTATACTGCTTGATTTATGATCTTTCGTGTTTAACTCATAAATTAATTCACGTAATTGGATGCTTAATTCATGTAAATTGCTATATAACGTGTTGAGATTAGTTTATAACACTCTGAGAAGCCTTAATATTACTCTGGTTCACATGGTGGATTTAGTTAGAACCGTGTGTGTTCTTGAAGGGTAAACTGATCGGTCTAACTTCTAATTGCATAATTCTTGTTCCGATTGTTGTCGGTGAATGACTAAGGCATTAGACTATTCTGGATCACACTGGAACATAACTTTAACCAGTGGTAGCCTTAGCAATTTAGGACGGATGAACTGGATGTCACCGGAGAGGATACAGTTGAAGGAAACAAGCAGATATGAATAGAGGGGGAATGAGGAGGCTCAAAGGGACTTGGAGGCGCTCAAAGTGAGATAGAGGCGGCTCAAAGTGGTTTAAAGCCGGCTCCATCTAGGTTGGAGGCGGCTCCAACTTGTTTGGAGCAGTCTCTCTTCAGTTCTTCAGTTTTTTGGGTTTTTGGGTGACTGTTTGGGCTGTGGTGCTCAGATTTTGGGATTTTTAAGTTCTGGAAAGAGCTATATTGAGGTGTTTTGAGATGATCTAAGTTCATATTATAACTTTCAAGAGTTGATTACTGTGTATTAAAACACCATTGTTCAGGGTAATACAGAACATAAGTCAGTATATGAAAATCCGGATACTGTCGTTGGAGATGAAGAGTTTAATTGCTTAAAAAATAATTTAGCAGATTACTATGGATGGTTACCCCATGTTAATCATGGAACAGTGGTAGGAACAAATATGCTTAAACTTTAACTACTGCTAGCTACGGATTAACTGACGTATAGAATTTAACGACTTGTTTCAGTTAATGTTGGTTTGGTATAATAGTAGCATGTGAATTGGTATATTCTGTTATGCTATTTTGGGAATTAAATTGATGTTTATATGTATGACATGTATGATCAATTACTGGAACTTAGTTATTTTGTTATGCTTAATGGGAACCTAGTTGCTAAATATACAGTATTGTGTCTTATCAACTTACTGAATATCTTGGGATGGTTTAAAGTGAGCATGTTAATTATGATAATATTATTATTATGCTCATAGTGAATTACAGAATGGATTATGCCTGTTCTCCGTGTTTTAATTCTGTTGGAGAATCATGTATTGGTAGAACAGAACAAGCATGTTATACACATATACTGGTTATACATGTGATAGACTCTTATTATTTTTGTTATGGATTAGTTGGTATTTACATATATATATTTGTATTGTCAACTACTGGATGGATGGATTGTATGCACCGGTATAGGACGGTGGCATATTAGGGATGGATTAGTAAAATACTGAATCCTACCTATTTTGGAATGATTTGGATTAACTATAAAAAGTTAAGTCCTACTTATATAGATGTTTATGCACCGGTATGGGACGGTGGTATACTAGGGACGGCTCAGTTCAAAACACTGAGACTTGCCTATATTGGGGATGGATTAGTTCAAACACTAAGTCCTACCTATATCGAAATAAGATGGATTAACTACAAAAGTTAAGTTCTACTTATAACTAGGTATCAGGTCAATAAACTTTTTGAATGACACACTTGGAAACGAACTTTATATATTTATGTTATGGTGCCACGATATGAGCCTGAGTCTTAGAGTCGTTGGCTAGGGAGTGTATATGCATTGGGATGCATAGCTGGCTATGATGGTTAGATGTGTACCCTACTAGGTCTAGGTAGTCATGCCCACCTCTGGTGTGTTTTGCATGGTGCCTACTAGTCAGGTTAAGACGGGCCTGTAGTCCAGTGACAGTCCTGTAGTGTGAATATATATATATATATATATATATATATATATATATATATATCTACGGACTATTTAGTTATTGTTCAGTTGGTTAGAATGTATATGCTTATCGAGTCTCTACTTGGATTGTAGTATGTTAGAACTTGTTCGTGGTCCTGACCCACCTCTTTTTTTCAGGTACTTGTTAGTTCCAGACTTAGACTTGATCGTGTTGAGCAGAGACTACTACTCACTTTTCCGACGACGTAGGACTTTTCTCCATGGTTTACTCTGGATGTTCTTTGAGTAGCTTTCATTTTAGTTTTGATTATTATTAGGGGTCCATTAGAGATGGATTCCCGAGTTGTATTAGAATTGGAGAAGTTGGTTGTATCAGACTAATTATTTATTTATAAAATTTTATTCTGAGGCTTTTTCTATCAAGGATTTTCATTCTAGTTTCGTTTCAGCAGTTTTATTTATTCTTGTTTTATCTTAACTGTATTCTGTGTTCATTTATTGCTAATTGGTTTGATATCCCCGGGTAATCGGGCGTGGGCCTGGCCAACCCGCATCAGAAAATCCGGGGGTATCACAGTTGGTATCAGAGCACTCCAGGTTCTAGTGTCCTTAGGAGTGTTTTCATTATAGAACTTCTGCGTTGCGTTTCTTAAAACTTAGAGCTATATTAGGATTCGTTGTACTCTCTTTACGGTTCGTTCAGAGGAGTTGATGTCAATTATATTCCATAAATGGTTGACATTAGGAGGAGGATGGGGTTCAAGGCAAAAGCGATACGGACTCGAAGGAGTAAAGGAGTAGGTTGTTGAGTTTTTTTTTGCCGGAAGCAGAACTTGGGATCGAAGGTTTAGTTCCAAGGTTGGCATTACTTAGAAAGTATACGCTAAGAATAGATCAGGGTGTAGGTGTTAGGTGTTAGGTCACCGCATGTCGGGGCCAACACAACTTCGGATGATCTCGAAAAGGAGACAAGCGAAGAGTAGGATTCTGAAGAGGATCCTAAGGGTGGAGATATCAACATCTCCAAGAAAGGGGATATTGAAGCTTGAAGATAAAGGATCGCACAAGTGTGCTTTCATTCACCAGCAGTATAGTGAATGGTACTAATGGAGTTGGTGTAAACAAAATTACATATAGTTAAAGTTTTGTATCATCTCTCCGGGAGTTATTTGAGAAGTTTAGGAATCGGATGGAGTTCTTATCAGAACGAAGACGTGATTTTATATCACATTCTGGAGAGTATGGGGATTAGGTTGTGACATTCTAAGTTGCTTTGTAAAGCCATGTTAGATGGTTTGCATTCTGCGTATAAGGAATATGATGGTTAAGACTTCGGATATTTGCTTAGGCAAACGATTGTACGGTTAAGCTACGGTTAATGGATAAGTTTTAAGGTTGGATAATTATAAACGAAACTATGGAATGAACTTTTGCGAACTTGAGTTCAAAGAGGAGGTTTTCTTCTCTGGAATGGAGGATGTCTTAAGTAGAATTTTATTTTGGTTGTTTTATGTATTATGTGTATCTACGTGTTTCATCTTTGATTGTTATGTGTTTCGGTTTTGTTATTACGTATTTCATTTTGTTAATTATTCCGAATTGGGAGTATGGATTGGATGGGGACACAAGTATGTGATCAACCAACTATTATTTTAATGACATGGGTAATAGCGCTATATGTGCTAGGATTTGTGAATGTATGGATGTAGGATTGGGTAGAAATACAAAGGCCTAGCCAATCTATCGGACCCGGGTTGCATCAATATGGTATGCTATTTAGGATGGGATAGTTAAACTATCAACACGAGTCAAACAATCTAAAAGGATTAGTTTGATATGCTATATGCTTGGTAGGGATTTGTTTTTACAACGCTATAATAATGGTGGTTGTTAATGCTTTAGGGATTCGTTAGGATGTGGTAAGTAAAGATCACTGTAATGCCATTATGGTTCGGATGGAGGATTTCGTACTGGTAGGTACTTATTAGAATGACGCCGGGAGAGGATAGTGGGCTGATTAGAAGCTTTATCAGTCTATTCGTAATCAAGACACGATTTTACAAGGGTGTCATCTGGAGGAGTTACTGGTATGCACTTGGAGGAGGAACCAAAGTTTCTACACTATATAAAATGTGGAAATTTTTAGGGTTATCTTTCGCAACAATTAGCTGTTGCTTCGACGATGATGACTATATGAAGGATGGGAAAAGTTTCATATCAATTGAAACAAGACAAGGAGTTAGCTTGACACTTACCTATAATAGAAAAGTAGGTGTGTTAAGGACAGGAAGGTGAGACCGAACACCTATATAAAGAAGCGGTGCACGGTGTGTGTGAAAAAAAAAAGGTCATAATAAGTTGACCCTCGATGAATGGAATTACCGGTCAATTTTATTATCGGTAAGTTTATCACTAACTGGTGATGCATAGATATAGTTGCAGGGTTAGCTTTTGACAATGCTTCGATGTAAGCAATGGTGCAGACGAAAGCTGGTGGTACCAGACCAGTTGGTACTTTTTGTAGACAAACGGGAAGGAGGATATAAGGACTGAGAGTCACATCTCTTAGTTCTTTATTCATCCCGGTGCAACATAAAATAATTCATGGTATGAAGCAGTTGTTTACCATTTCTAAAATGATCGAGATGGACCATTCGAGATTATGAGACCCTTGTAGACATTTTCTATGTTCAACTGATAGACCTTTTTCATTGATTTGGATGAGGGGTTGCTAACTTTTACAAAGGGTCAGGATTTGGTTGGGATGTTGGTTCGTTTATTTATTAAATCAATTAAATTCTGGTTTATTTCGAACGGGTGGGTCATTAGTTCGTATGAATAGAGGGAATTACAAGACAACTTAGATGCCTCAATGTGGTGATTCACATTTTACATTAAGTTCTGTCCGGGGAAAAGGAATAGGGAGGTGGATGCTCTCAACAACCGATCGCATATTTCATATCCTGCGATTCATTGTTGCGTTCACAATGGTAGTTTTGCTTGTATAACAATGACACGGGCTGTTATCATAGGAAATAAGGAAGTCAACTGCATATATTAGGGTTGATCTTCGTGGAGGTGTACCTTACTCAGTTTGAGCTTAAGGAATTAACGGGTGATTTGTCATTTTGTTGGTGTTGTCAGAATGAATGCGATTTCAAAATCGACACTTCTCCTCAATGCACTCGGATGGTTATCAGGAACATCAAGACATCAACTGTCAGTTCTCGGGATCAGGTTTGGGACGAGACATGTATATAACTGCCTATATGAGTAACACTTGTTTGAAAGGTGGACGATGGATAACCGGAGCTCATTGGAGATATTTGCCACTACCTAAATCAAAATGGGAGTGGGAAACAGTTGATTTGGGGATGTCTTTTATAATGGAAGCTAGGTGCGTTACTACGGAAAGTCAGTTTTATATATTACATTGCCTTACATGGAGGGTGTTTCTCCATTTAGGTGGTAGCCTATCGATTCGTGATTTACAACGTTAGGATGAGACGCATAGAAGTTTTACACATTTATGCTATGTACCTTGGAGGATTGTGGATCTGTACCCTGTTTAAACAATTTGGGTAAGGATAGGAAGTTGCTCAATACAACTTACGTGTTGCATAACTTTTGTGTTTCTTTGATATGGAACTCATAAGTTTCCTTGGAGGATTTGGAATTCAGTGGAGCTCCTGCATAGCGACAGCATTCACAATGGAATGGAAATGGATTTTAACAAAAATAATTCAGAGTTTCATGAATTCCAAGGACGGAATTCCATTTGTTAGGGGGGAAGAATGTAATACCCCTAGTTTTGAAAGGGATATAATTGGAATTTTATTATTTATTTTATTGTTTTCAGTATTTATTTTATTATTTTTGGGTGCTTACGTGGCTACGTGTTTTGGATGGTTTCCTGTTTTTGGGTGATATTTGAATTAATTGAATTTTTATTTTATTACTTGAATAATTGGACTTATTTGTAATTATTTGAATTGTTTGCGTTAATTATACTGTTACGGACTTATTGGTAATTAGTGGAATTAGGGTTTTTGTCTCTAATTTTACATGGAGTAGGATTGTTGTTTGGAGCCTATAAATACATAAGAATACTAGGGTTTAGGGTTTTAGAAACCGTAAGCACAAGTCTGTAAATAGAGAGAATAACAGAGAATTACAGGGCGAATTACAGAGAGAGATAAAGGGAGGAAGTCTAGGGTTTTGCCTTAGGCTAGGGTTGAACCAAGGAGGAGGAGGAGCAGTGGTTGGCTCATGGATAAAACCAAGAGCAACAGAGGTGGAATAGTCATCGGAGATTTCATCGGAAAAACTTAGAAGGACGGCAACGGAGTTTTGAATCCAAAACTGTAAAGGCAAGTTCTAATCCTACTCTATTCCTTAGGCTTGTGTTCTTTGCATTCTAACGCAACTTCAGGAACGTATAAGGATTAAAAGTAAACTAGTTTACATGTCTCTGTTGTTTTAAAACTGAATGTAGTAATGAGTTATACTGCTTGATTTATGATCTTTCGTGTTTAACTCATAAATTAATTCACGTAATTGGATGTTTAATTCATGTAAATTGCTATATAACGTGTTGAGATTAGTTTATAACACTCTGAGAAGCCTTAATATTACTCTGGTTCACATGGTGGATTTAGTTAGAACCGTGTGTGTTCTTGAAGGGTAAACTGATCGGTCTAACTTCCAATTGCATAATTCTTGTTCCGATTGTTGTCGATGAATGACTAAGGCATTAGACTATTCTGGATCACACTGGAACATAACTTTAACCAGTAGTAGCCTTAGCAATTTAGGACGGATGAACTGGATGTCACCGGAGAGGACACAGTTAAAGGAAACAAGCAGATATGAAGAGAGGAGGAATGAGGAGGCTCAAAGGGACTTGGAGGCGGCTCAAAGTGACTTTGAGCCTGCTCAAAGTGAGATAGAGGCGGCTCAAAGTGGTTTAGAGCCGGCTCCATCTAGGTTGGAGGCAGCTCCAACTTGTTTGGAGCAGTCTCTCTTCAGTTCTTCAGTTTTTTGGATTTTTGGGCGACTGTTTAGGCTGTGGTGCTCGTATTTTGGGATTTATAAGTTCTGGAAAGAGCTATATTGAGGTGTTTTGAGATGATCTAAGTTCATATTATAACTTTCAAGAGTTGATTACTGTGTATTAAAACACCATTGTTCAGGGTAATACAGAACATAAGTCAGTATATGAAAATCCGGATACTGTCGTTGGAGATGAAGAGTTTAATTGCTTAAAAACTAATTTAGCGGATTACTATGGATGGTTACCCCATGTTAATCATGGAACAGTGGTAGGAACAAATATGCTTAAACTTTAACTACTGCTAGCTACGGATTAACTGACGTATAGAATTTAACGACTTGCTTCAGTTAATGTTGGTTTGGTATAATAGTAGCATGTGAATTGGTATATTCTATTGTGCTATTTTGGGAATTAAATTGATGTTTATATGTATGACATGTATGATCAATTACTGGAACTTAGTTACTTTGTTATGCTTAATGGGAACCTAGTTGCTAAATATACAGTATTGTGTCTTATAAACTTACTGAATATCTTGGGATGGTTTAAAGTGAGCATGTTAATTATGATAATATTATTATTATGCTCATAGTGAATTACAGAATGGATTATGCATGTTCTCCGTGTTTTAATTCTATTGGAGAATCATGTATTGGTAGAACAGAACAAGCATGTTATACACATATACTGGTTATACATGTGATGGACTCTTGTTATTTTTGTTATAGATTAGTTGGTATTTACATATATATATATTTGTATTGTCAACTACTGGGTGGATGGATTGTATGCACCGGTATAAGACGGTGGCATATTAGGGATGGATTAGTAAAACACTGAATCCTACCTATTTTGGAATGAGTTGGATTAACTATAAAAAGTTAAGTCCTACTTATATGGATGTTTATGCACCGGTATGGGACGGTGGCATACTAGGGACGGCTCAGTTCAAAATACTGAGACCTACCTATATTGGGGATGGATTAGTTCAAACACTAAGTCCTACCTATATCGAAATAAGATGGATTAACTATAAAAGTTAAGTCCTACTTATAACTAGGTGTCAGGTCAATAAACTTTTTGAATGACACACTTGGAAACGGACTTTATATATTTATGTTATGGTGCCACGATATGAACCAGAGTCTCAGAGTTGTTGGCTAGGGAGCGTATATGCATTGGGATGCATAGCTGGGTATGATGGTTAGATGTGTACCCTGCTAGGTCTAGGTAGTCATGCCCACTTCTGGTGCATTTTGCATGGTGCCTATTAGTCAGGTTGAGACGGGCCTGTAGTCCCGTGAGAGTCCTGTAGTGTGAATATATATATATATATATATATATATATATATATCTACGGACTATTTAGTTATTGTTGAGTTGGTTAGAATGTATATGCGTATCGAGTCTCTGCTTGAATTGTAGTAGGTTAGAACTTGTTCGTGGGCCTGACCCACCTCTATTTTTCAGGTACTTGTCAGTTCCAAACTTAGACTTGATCGTGTTGAGCAGAGACTACTACTTACTTTTCCGACGATGTAGGACTTTTCTCCATGGTTTACTCTGGATGTTCTTTGAGTAGCTTTCATTTCAGTTTGGATTATTATTAGGGGTCCATTAGAGATGGATTCCCGAGTTGTATTAGAATTGGGGAAGTTGGTTGTATCAGACTAGTTATTTATTTATAAAATTTTATTCTGAGGGTTTTTCTATAAAGGATTTTCATTCTAGTTTCGTTTCAGCAGTTTTATTTATTCTTGTTTTATCTTAACTGTATTATATGTTCATTTATTGCTAATTGGTTTGATATCCCCGGGTAATCGGGCGTGCGCCTGGCCAACCCGCATCCGGAGATCCTGGGGTATCATATTATTATACCCTTCTTCTGTAAGATTCCTCAAATGCCCCATAGCAATATCAAAGTCAGCTTGGTTATAAGCTCTTGCAGCCTTCCAAAAGTACTTCCTTAACAACAAACCAGGGTACTTCTTTTTAAAGTTATTAAATAAATGTCTGCAACAATATCTATGGTGGGCCTTAGGAAAGATATAAGAAATTGCAGAATCCAGTCCCTATATAAAACAGTTAAAACAATGTCAACAATTAAATTTACCAAATATAATAAAATAAAAATTAAATAACATTCAATATGAAAATACCTTTTGTTGATCCGACATGAAAGTCCATGGGTTATCCTCAAAATCTTTGCCAATCATAGTCTGCAGATGTGTTAGAAAAAAACCCTAACTTTCCTTTCCTTCACTTTCCACAACACTATAGGCCACTGGGAAAAGGCCATTGTTGTTATCTAGTGCAGTGGCTGCAAGTAGAACACCACCATAGGGTCCTTTCAAATGGCAGCCATCTAGACCAATAAATGGTCTACATCCTTTTTTCAAACCAGTGGCCAGTGCCTCAAAATAGATGAAAATTCTACTAAAGACTGGGTTCACATACAAATTTGCCCTAAACCTCCTAATTTTAGCCAAGCTTCCTGGATTTGTTTTATCAATTTCATATGCATAAGCTGGAAGTAATGTGTAAGCTTTAGCATGATTACCCCTAATTTCCTCTAGTGCCTTTCTCTTTGCCCTATACAACTGCATTCTACTAGGTTCAATTCCATATTGTGCCTTCACTGCAGCTCCCAAAGATGCTATTTTAATCTCAGGATTCTTTCTTATCCTATCTGCAAACTTCATAGTAATCCATGTTGATGTTGCTTCCCTAGAAGTGCTCTCCTTCACACAAGTATGCTCTTTGTTTATTTTTTTTAATCTAATAGGTGATTTTATCAAAGAGAGGTGATGCATGTATAATCCATGGGCAACTTGGAGCAGCATAATGACATCTTATTCTAGCTTTTTCATTTTTTTTCCTAACCATTTTAAAACACTCCTGAATTGCATAATCCCTCAACACTTCCCTAAATTTCTTAGTATTGTCAAATATGTGACCTTTCACTAATTCTATCTTTTGTCCTGGAACTCTTGAAATTCTATCCTAAATAAACATTGATCAAAGGCTTTACCTTTAAACCTATCTTCTTTATCAATATCACCCAATATTTCAATACTTGATTCTGATCCACATTCATCCCCTGACCCATAATTGGACAAACCATCATCACTACTTATTTGAACTCCCCCCATAGTACTTTCATCTACTAGTCCGCTATCACTAGAATACCCTTCATTTTCATCTTCCCATTCCTCATCTTCTGAACTGAAACCAAATATATAATCTCCATCATTCTCATCTTCCTCATCACCATCCCTTTCACCACCACTTACATGGCACCCCTTGGACAACCATCCCTTTCACCATCCCTCACAGCACCATTCCTCTCACATACCATGTTTAAATTTTCAACAGTTTCTAACTCAACATGAATATGAACACATTTTTTATAAGGATTAGTATGAAAGCTAAAAACTTGTAACATATCAGCATCACTCTGCACTACCATTTTCTCATGACTTCTAGGCAAATCACAATGCATGATAATTGAGACTCCTAATTGTGCAGGTAAATTTTCTAAAGACACTTGTAAAACATCATCCATCAAATTAATAAAATAGTACCTATCAGGGTCAACATTATAAATTCCTTTCACAATGGACTTGTAGTGCATAATAATGTCATGCAATTCAGAATCGGCCATCTGTTTATACCACATAACAAAAAACATTAGGATACATATAACAAAATCACATGCATATTTCAAAATAACAGCACAATTTTCTCAATCAACACATATTAATATGGAAAAATCAAAATACAAAAACATTAGGATAACTATAAAAAAAAAATACAGTAAGTGGAAATTCATTATATATATGGTAATCTAAAAAAAAGGATATAGAAATAATTTAGTGAAAATTCATTATATATATAGAATACAAAAAACATTTAGAAAAAAAAAAAATTCTATATATATAATGAATTTTTACTAAATTATTTTGATATGGTAATCTTAACACATATCAATATGGGAAAAAAAAAAATTCTATATATATAATGGATTTTCACTAAATTATTTCATTATGGTAATTTTCACTAAAATTTTAGAAACCAAACATCGTGAACAACTATACTGTAAATAAAAAAAAAAAAAAAAAAAAAAAATCCAGATTATGAAACAACTATACTCGTTGCATAAAAAAAAAAAAAAAAAAAAAAAAAATTAGGATGCATATAAAAAAACCTATCCAACAACTGATATAAGTGTTGATACGAAAAAAAATCTCTGACAATAATTACATACCAGATATAAGTGTTAATTATGTCTTGTCGAAGAACCTATCCAACAATATCCAGACTTAAAAAAAAAAAAATTGGATGCATATAAAACAAAATCCAGATTCAAAAAAAAAAAAATTCATACTATAAACAAATTAGGCAAAATCAGAATACAAATTAGGCAATATATATATATATATATATATATATATATATATAGAAACAAAACGCTATGAACAACTATAACAAAAACCCTAAAAATCACTGCGAAAATAGACATGCATAACAAAATAGCAATGAATAGGAACCTATTATATATCTATAAAGCAAAAACCCTAAGACATCAACAAGAATAGCAAAACCCCTTATTTTTTTCAAAAAATTTGGCTTACCTTCACCAGCGATGCCTACTTCTGAAAATATTGTACCGATGCTTGGTTGTTGAACGATTATGGGTTATGTAACGGCTAGCAAAGAGAACAGAAGGTCAAAGTCTTTAGAAATCTAGGGTTTGAAAGGCAACGCATCAAACTCTTCGCCTATGTGCTTCTCCATCTCTCTCTTCTATTTTCTCTCGAACCTGCTATACGAGATGTGTAAAGGAAATAAAAAAAAGTTCAGTGATATAAATAAAGGAAATGAATGGGTTGCCTGATATAATGAGTGAAATGAAAGGGTTGCAGATGATGGGACTTGGCCGTCAGTTTTTTTCCCTCCAAAACCATTAGGGGCAATCTAGTAATTTCAAAAAGAAAGATATTCTTCATGTAATTTTAATAAAATATTGAAGGGTGTTTTAGCCATTTAACATGGTCAATGGCCGGAATAAAATGCCGATCAGTTTGGAGGGTGGTCAGTGTAATTTTTGGAACATAAGGGGTACTGCCTGTAATTACGCCTAACCTCAGGGGAGGTAAGTGAAATTATCCCCTTTCTTTTATTATGCTAGAGTCAACTTTTGATTACCTCAATTATGGCATAATCTCAGGGTCATAAGTTGTTATAAGAAGGGTATGATGTAAAACTTGGGGATTCAGTGAATGAATAAATAAAAATATATTTGAGATTTCTTTGGGAGTGATTCACAAATTTTAAGGGTGTGAGGCCTTCTCTAGGTGTGATACCTATGCCATGTTGGAGTGATTCCAATAGGTTTTTGTTTACTGTTGGTGTGATGCCAATAGACTTTTTCTTATTTTCAAATCATTTATCTCTTTTGAATCATAATCTGTTTTTTTGACCCTATTGGTGTGATGCCAATAGGCAGCTCTTATTCTATATCTTATTCTATTCTCCTTGATTTCCTACATTTTTACTATCAAACCTCCAAATTTCAGCCCTAGTTCTTTGAACTTTCACCTCATGAATTCTTTAAGTTCTTAACTATTTAAGGGTACTCCCTTGTCCTACATCAATTTTTGGTATCAGAGCCTAAGTAGACATTATGTTTACTCGATCTGGCAATAAAACATGGATGATAATCAGGAGATTGAGTTGTTGTCATATATTCTAGAACAACTTAAAGGATTAAATGCTTGATGCGATAAGATAGGAGCTCGAATTTCACAGCCTTTTAACAAATCGGCAGCCCTTGAACAAGGATTTGCATTGGTACTAATGATGGCAGAAAGTGGCAGCAGTAACAGCCTTCAAACCCTTAGCAATGGTGTAGTTTGAAGGCAGATCCACCACTACATCCTATGTTGGAGTTTCTAAAAAAAAACTTTAGAGGTGAATCATCATGAGCCATATGATGCCGCTGGAGATATTCCAAAGAAGTCAAGTGATGGAACGTGCAGCACACCGACAATAACAATGCTGCCAAATGGTGGATTAAATGCATTTTTTATAACATGGCTGATCCTAAAGGAAAGAGTATGGTGGCTAACTAGGATAATGAGAACCTGCTTGACAATAAGACATGCAACACTGATTATCGCGAAGAAGATGAAGAGAATGTTTCATCCATCTCCGTTGTGAGGCACATCCTTGAAGACCCTAAAGTAGAAGACGAAGATAGGTGGCACACATCTAATTTTCAGATCCAAGTTCGTTGTGGAAACCAAGCTCAGAAGCCTATTATTGATGGCGATGGCTGCACAAGTGTTGTCTCCACATCCACGATTAAGCACCTCAAATTTTCAATCCAACCACGTCTAAAACCGTTCAAAGTGGCTTGGGTAGATGGTACTTCTATTCCAATGATTTAGTCAGAGGAGAGGAAGTTTAACACAATTATAATTCTTGGCCTTATTCATAATGACTTGCTAAACCTTACAGAATACAGCATGCACATGGAAAATGTTCTTGATGTTGGGAGGAATAAAGCTGCTCCAAAGTTTGCAATCTCTCTTCAACGAACTTTTTTGGTTCAGGAATCAAGAGTAAGTGTATCAGCACTTCCCAATTTGGTTGAGGCATTGGCAAAGCTTACAAATAAACCTAGATCTCGTGAGTCTTTACAACAATTGATTGAGATTGCTAGTAATTTTACTGTGAATGTTGCAGTTCTTGTTGGATTTGCTGCTGGCAAAGGTGATAGGTCAAGTAATCCAGAGAAAAGAAGGGATTTGACCATGCTATTACAAGCAGGGTCAGCTATCTCAATGCCGATCGTCTGAGGAAGCAGATCTTACCGGTTTTTGTATTCAAAATTCTGCACTATTTGCGGAATGGTACTAGATATCCAAACTTCATGGTACAACTGATGTATTATGTACTCACTTTATTTCACAGTTGCAGCAAAGTGGATGTTAAAATGAGGTTGATGAATCAGAAGGTGATTTTGTTATTGTGTTGCCTAGACCAAGTCAAAGACATGATGCTATATTTGTTGTTGTGGATCATTTTTTGAAAGTGGAGCACTTCATCTCTTATTCTAAGACTTTCGATGCAGTCCACATTTCCAAACTTCTTTTTCAAGACGCTTTCCGGTTTAATAGGTTGCACAACACCATTGTTTCTGATTGAGATATGAATTCTATAAGTTATTTTTGGCGGACATTATGGAAGTTGCTGAATATAGACTGAAAATTTCTTCTTTTCACCCACAAACTGATGGCCAAACCTATGTCAATAATCGTAGCTTGGGTGACTTACTTCATTCTCTTGTTGGTGACCATATTACAAGTTGGGATCAAATTCTTCCTATTGCTGAATTTGCGTACAACAGTTCTGTAAATAGTACCATTGGGTGCAGCCCCTTTGAGATTGTGATAGGCTTACATCCTAGAAAGCCAATTGACTTAGTACCTTTACCAATTGAGGCACACCCTAGTGCTGAAACTGTTGCTTTAAGTAAGCATATCCAAGATATTAATGCTGAAGTTCAAAGGAAGATTGTAATAAGCAATGAGACACTAATGCTTTAAGTAAGCATATCCAAGATATTCATGCAGAAGTTCTAAGGAAGATTGCAATAAGCAATTAGAGACACAGAGCACAAGCTGATTTTCAGAGTGGTTATCAGAAGTTCCTTGGTAGATGGAGGGACCGCCCAATTTTTTATTATACTTGGATTGCTGAGTAGTGAGTTCTAATATCCAGCTCCTGACCTTTATAAGCAATTTCATTCCTTTAACTCGTCGGAGTCGAGTTTTTCCAAGCTGGAGAGAATTGATGTTGATCAATGGCAAAAATCTTTAAAGGTGTATAAAAGGTGCCAAAAGGAGGATTCTAAGATTCGAGCTGACATAAGCTATATAATGGGTTCACATATTTGAATAATTAGGACATTTGGTCAACTTTTAGTTACTTTAATTATGATAATTAACTACCTCAATTATGGGGTAATCATGGAGTTAAATAATGATTACCTCAATTACGGGTTGATTACTTTCTTTTATTTTGCTACAGAGTCAACTTTTGATTACCTCAATTATGGGGTAATCTCAGGGTCATAAGTTGCTATAAGAAGGGTATGATGTAAACTTGGTGAGGTAGTGAATAAATGAATAAAATATCTTTGAGATTTTTTTGTGAGTGATTCACAAATTCTGAGGGTGTGAGACATTCTCTAGGTGTGATACCTAGGCCCTATTGGAGTGATTCCAATAGGTTTAATTTTGTTTTCTATTGGTGTGATGCCAATAGACTTTTTCTTATTTTCAAATCCTTCATCTCTCTTGAACCATAATATGTTTCTCTGACCCTGCTGGTGTGATGCCAATAGGCAGCTCTTATTTTATTCCCCTTGATTTCCTACATTTCTATTATCAAACCTCCAAATTTCAGCCCTAGTTCTTTGAACTTTCATGAGCATCTGAATTCTTTAAGTCCTTAACTATTTAAGGCTACTCCCTTCCCCTACATCATGCACTCACCAAAATTATGGTTCATGTTCATGATTATATGTTTTTGTTTTGGAAAATACAAATTAAATTGCATAAAAGTGCTTTCGAGAATTTGCAAAAACTGAAAATTTTCTAAATATAGATAACATGGTAATTTGATCGACCGACTGATCAATTGAAGGCTACTGGTTGATAACTCTTAATCAACCGATTTGTCCTAAACAACAGTTTCCATTTGGGGTTGAAACACTAAAGCCCGGTTGTTTCTCTAACTTTC